AAATTTTTGATGGTTACTTTTATGGCATGTGGGGTCTCATTTGAAAGGTCTTTTTGAATAGAATCCGAATACTAACAAAAGTGATTTGTTAACAAAATATACACTTTTTACGAATTTGTAGCAGACGAGCCTAAAAAAGTTTTACTTCAAAAAATTAAAATTGTGTTACTTTGGCATGTTGGGTTTCGTTTGAAAGGTCTTTGTGAATATAATCCGAATACTAAAAGTAACTATGTGATTTGTTCACAAAATATACACTTTTTACAAATTTGTAGCAGAGGAGTCTAAAGAAGTTTTACTTCAAAAAATGCATTCAGGATTCTTGCAAAAAACATAAAAACAAGTTGTTAGTAGCATTTTGCCCCAAGGCATTGATCCGATACTCAACATAATCAATTTTTAGATTTCGAGCTTAAAGAAGTTTTACTTAAAAAAATTAAAATTGTATTACTTTGGCATGTTGGGTATCATTTGAAAGGTCTTTCTGTATAGAATCCAAATACTAAAAGTAACTATGTGATTTATTAACAAAATATACACTTTTTACGATTTTGTAGTAGACTGGCCTAAAGAAGTTTTACTACAAAATTATTTGATGGTTACTTTTATGGCTTGTTGGGTTTCGTTTGAAAGGTGTTTTTAAATAGAATCCGAATACTAAAAGTAAATGTGATTTGTTCACAAAATATACACTTTTTATGAATTTGTAGTAGATGAGTCTAAAGAAGTTTTACTTCATAATATTAAAATTGTGTTTTTTGGCATGTTGGATATCGTTTGAAAGGTCTTTTTGTATAGAATCCGAATACCAAAAGTAACTATGTGATTTGCTAACAAAATATACACTTTTTACCAAATTGTAGCAGAAAAGTCTAAAGAAGTTTTACTTTAAAAAAACTTAAAATTATGTCACTTTGGCATGTTGGGTTTGAAAGGTCTTTTTGTATAGAATCCAAATGCTAAAAGTAACTATGTGATTTGTTCACAAAATATACATTTTTTTAGAATTTATAGTAGATGAGTTTAAAGAAGTTTTACTTCAAAATTTCTTGATTGTTTTTTTTGTAGCTTGTTGGGTATCGTTTGAAAGGTCTTTTTAAATAGAATCCAAATACTAAAAGTAAATATGTGATTTGTTCACAAATCATACACTTTTTACGAATTTGAAGCAGATGAGTCTAAAGAAGTTTTACTTCAAAAACTTAAAATTGTGTTTTTTGGCATGTTGGGTATCATTTGAAAGGTCTTTTTGAATAGAATCCGAGTGCTAAAAGTAACTATGTGATTTGTTAACAAAATATACACTTATTACAAATTTGAAGCAGATAAGTCTAAAGAAGTTTTACTTCAATATTTTTTGATGATTACTTTGGCATGTTGGGTATTGTTTGAAAGGTCCTTTTGTATACAATCCGGATACTAATAGTAACTATGTGATTTGTTCACAAAATATACACCTTTAACGATTTTGTAGCAGATGAGCCTAAAGAAGTTTTACTTCAAAATTTTCTGATAGTTACTTTTAATGGCATGTGGGGTATCGTTTAAAAGGTCTCGACGAGTAGAATACGATTTCTTACAAAAAATGTGTATATTGTAATAAAAACGTTATATACATATTGCAAAAAATGTAAGGATGTTATTATTTATTATTACACTAATTTTTATGTGACGTATCATTTGAAAGGGCTGGAAAAGTAGAATACGAATTTAGTATTCGTTGTTAATTCTCTTCAATTTCTTTCTTTTCTTTATTAACTGAAAGTAGTAATTATTCGTGATACACAATCAAACTTTTAGTTTTATTTTTTTATCAAACTGCTATATAATTTATTTTGGTAAATGATCAAGTTTTATGGTACGACTTATATTAATAAAAAGAAGACAAAAATTATTTCAACTGTAAAATTAATGGTTATTCAGAATTACTGCTAAATTTCCAAACTTTTTTCAGTATTCGGATTCTAATAAAAAAGACCTTTCAAATGATACCCCACATGCCATAAAAGTAACCATCAAAAATTTTTGAAGTAAAACTTCTTTGCACGTTGAAGTAGTACCAAGCGCCTTTTTAAAAACGAATAGAAGGATATAGTTCAAAAATAGTACTTACTTATGTTTGGTGAAGTTAGTCTTCATCTGATCCTTAATTTTGACGACTTGATCAAAAGTTGCACAATCTGCTGTTTCATCACCCCTATCATCAAGGATGCATTATATCAGGGCTGATTTTTGGTCATCACGAATTGTTTGTTTAAATCTTAAAAAAGTAAAACACCTAGTAAATAAATCTTATCTTTAAATTCCAATTATGTTTTATTTATTACCTGTTTTTTGCCTTCTCGATAGTTTCCTCGTCTTCAAATTCAACAAGACAAGTCAAAATCAAATCCTCATTTTAGTTATGGAAAAGGCTCACAACTTCTGTCGTCCCAGCTGACGTTTTTCTTGATTTCACAAAACATATTCAAGACAAATTGTTTGAACTCATTTTTAAATCCGTGTTAGACACCAAACTGTGCATTTTTCTTAAAATGTTACCAATGGATTCCCAGACGAATGGTGAATCTTCGTTTTTGTAGTGGCATAGGAATTGGAAAAACTGAAAAAAATTGATTGAAAATATTTCATAGAAATCAAACAGAAAAAGTCTTTAGAGTAGACTTTTTTCCCCATTTGCGAGTTAGTAGAGTTTTTTTTTACTGTTTACAAGTTCTAGATATAGTTTGCTTGTTAGTAGAGTCCCTTTTATCATTTTAAAGTTTGTAGAGTTCCTTTTGTAAGTAGAGTCTCTCATGTTTTTTTTAATGTTCTAGATTTTTTTGTTAGTCAGTAGAGTTCCCATTTTTAAAACTAAGTTTTAGATTGCGTTTGCTTGTCAGTAGAGTCCCTTTTTAAACGTCCAAGTTTAAGAGTCTCCTTTGTCTTAACACAGTTTTAGATTTCTTTTGCTTTTCAGTAGAGTCCTTTTTTAAATGACTAAGTTTTGTCAGTAGAGTCCCTTTTGCCCTTTTAAAGTTCTAGATGTAGTTTGCTTGTTAGTAGAGTCCCTTTTGCCTTATGAAAGTTTTAGATTTAATTTGCTTATCAATAGAGTCCTTTCTTTAATTACAAGATCTAAATTCTTTTGCTTGTCAGTAGAGTCTCTTTTTTGTTATCAAAGTTTTACACCTAGTTTGCTTGTAAGTACAGTCTTTTTTCTCATTTTAAGTGTTAAATTCGATTTGCTTGACAGTAGAGTCCTTTTTCGCATTTTCAAGTGCCATATTAAATTTGCTTGTCAGTAGAGTCCTTTTTATATTTCAAACTTCATTGAAAATCAATTTGCTTGTCGTAGAGTCCTATTTTTCATTCCAAATGTTGTTGAAAGTCAATTTGTATGTCAGTAGAGCCTATTTGCTCTACTATTTTGCTCGTTTGCTCGTCAGTAGAGTCCCTTTTTCCATTCCAAAGTGTATTTAGATTAGTTTGCTCGTTAGTAGAGTTCTTGTTAAATTTCTGGATTGATTAGTCCCTTTTTTTAATTTTACCTCTAATTTTAGTTTGCTCGTCAGTAGAGTCATTTTTATTTGAATTGTAAATTTTTTTGCTCGTTAATAAAGTCTTTTTTGTTTGAATTTCAGAATCTATTTGCTCGTCAGTAGAGTTATTTTTATACTTAATATATCCATATTCAGTTGATCGTCATAGAGTTTTTTTGGAACTTCTCAAATTTGATTCTTTTAGATTTCTTTGATATTTAATTTCTCAGTCAGTAGAGTTACTTTTAAATTTTTCAGAATGTGATAATTTTCTCGATATTAGTAGTGCATTTACATCTAATTTAGTTTGCTCGTCAGTAGAGTCTCTTTTGTTTAAATTTTAAATTTATTTGCTCTACTGACTGGCAAATTAAATATCAAAGGAGCAAATTGAGAAGTTGGAAAAACTATACTGACGATCTAACTGAATATGGATATATAAAGTTTGAAAAGGTCTTATATAAAGTTTGAGAAGGTGTAGCATAATGTATGGAAGTTGAAGCGTAACATGGCCTTGCCATAACATTTGTATGTTATGGCCCATGTATCTCTAATTACAAATCTATTCCTTACCGTTTCCATGGTCTTTCTGCCAGAACTTGCCATCGCATACATATCCTCTAACAAACCAATCCTGTCCAAAACTGGCATAGACAAACCTTCTATTGCTGGCCCAAATTTATCCATCATTTCTGGCGGGTACAGAACCCTATAATAATCCATGGTTCCTACATTTAATTTCACCCAATCGCATGGTGCCAAATCTTCAACAGTCATAGACGTCGATTGACATTCCATCAAAGTGCTGACGGTATACTAAAAAATAAAACAAACATTATGTTGGTACTTGTTAACTTCCCGAAGGAGAAGTTTATGTTTTCATCAAAAAATCCGATTCGCTAATTTTATGTTTTCTCGACGTTTCAAGCCATTCTGAATCGAATGGGACCAATTTTAAGGAAAAAGTATGTGTGTGTGCGTGTGTGTGAACAGATTTTTTGGCGTAAATCAACGTTTTCTTAAAAACGTCTGGACCAAATTCAAAAATTTAAAAGTCATTCAATGTATCTCGATGAAGACTAGCGTTTCTGTGTGACGATCAGCCGAGACGTTTCTTTGTAAATAGCAGAAAAGTGAAAAAATTTTCGTCCACGTTTTAGCCCGCAATTCTGAATCGATTTTGAAAATTCAAAAACCGTTCAAAAGATATTGGTTGGAAATCGTGCTGATTAGTTTTTGGTAGAGATCGGCCGGACCGTTTTCTTATACAATTTTTGTGATTATTTTTTTTACCATAGTCTTCTAGATCATACTAAAATATTTACGCCCCTACGACAACTCGTTTAGCTTTAAAAATTCGTCAAAGTTTGCAAAAATTAGTATGGTCTTTTTGGCATTTGTCAAAATTAAACCTTTCATCGACGATTGCTCAAAAACGCCTGAACCGATTTCATAAATTTAAAAACCATTTGATGTACCTCAATGAGGACTATGGCTTGACACTTTTGTGCGACGATCGGCCGAGCCGTTTCTTTGAAATTTGGAAAAAAGTGTTAAACTTTTCGTCCACATTTAAGCTCAAGCTACCGAATCGATTTAAAAAAATCAAAAATTGTTTGAAACATATTAGTTGGGAATGATACTTATTAGTTTTAGTTGAAAATCTACCGAGCCGTTTTCTTGTAATCAACTGTTGACAAAATTTTCAATGTAATAACTGTTGAAAAAAAATTTAAGTTTAATATTTAAAAATTTAATTAATTTATGAGTGATTTGAAGTATTCCGAGTGGATTTATTACACATAATTGAAAACGAACGAACATTTTAACTTGGAGTATTTTCTAAAAGCAAATTTAATTTTTTCGGCGATATATATCATGGTCTTCTAGAACTTATTGAAATATCACGGCCTTATGACAAGTAGTATAATTTTAAAAATTTATCAAAGTTTGAGAAAATGAGTAGTTTTTTTGACATTTGTTAATATTAAAATTAGACGATATACTTAGTATAACGATAGAGTACTTGGTTTTAATGAACGTAGTAAATCATTAAAGTCCTACGGAAACTGGTTCAATTATAAAAATTATTGATTTTTGAAAATTTGCTTTTAGAAAATACTCCGAGTTAACGTGTTCGTTCGTGTTCAATTATGTGTAATAAATCCACTCGGAATACTTCTAATCACTCATAAATGAATTTGTTTATTATTGATTAAGTTGATTATTTACACATATCGGGAAGTTCATGTAACTTGCCCCAAGGCTAAATACCAATACCAACTAGTTAGTTATCAATTACCACTTACTCCAGTTGGGCATTTAGAAGTCATGACAGTTATGGGTATTGTCCATTGCATCGGAGGTACCTCCTGGTCAGTACTTTTGGTGAACACTTCTTGTTTTATATTAATGGTTCTTGTGGTTCCGCAATGCGTTTCTGATACTGTCAGCAAAGGGTAACCCGGTTGGTTTACCCAGGCGTTCATCATGCAACCTGCAAGAAAATTCATTTAGTAACTAGTGGTGTATAGCATCGTGCCTTAAGGCAAATTGCTGGAACTTTCCGTATCGTAATGAAATATTCGAGAAATTTTAAACGTTTTTAAATATATTATTACAAATACTGTAACTTTCATTATTTTTGCTATCTTGTCAAATCTGAGCAAATCAAATGTAAATCACACATCAATTTATCATCTCCATAACATTAACAATCGTCGTTTCATTTCGAATTCAATTTAAAAAAAAAAAACAGTTTCCTAATTTGCACAAAATTGAAAAAGTGCTCTCGTATAGTCACAGTCTAAACGCATTTGCAAATAATTTCATGCGATATTTTCACTTATACTGTGCTTAGCTTGGCGGCATTTTCACATTTTTCAATAATTTTCACAAAATTGGAAAACTGCTCCGGTACATAAACAGTCTAAACGCACTTGAGTAAACATTTGTACCAAAGTGGCGCTTAGACTGTGCTTAGCTTGGGTAATTTTTAACTTCCCGTAGGGTGAGTTATTGTAATGGGCCGAAAATCGAAAATGAAAATTTTTACATTTCTCGACGTTTCAAAGGTTTCTGAACATTTTGGCATGCCTCAGAAAAAATGAATATGTGTGTATGCGTGTGTGTTTTGTGTGTGTCGGCATTTCTTCGTCCACGTTTTCGGGCGCACGGATCAACCGATTTGAATGAATTAAAAAACATTGGATTTTTATTGATAGGAAGATGTGCTGATTAGTTTTTGGCAAAGGCAGGTCTGGCCGTTACGGAGATACGGAGCAAAGAATGCAGAAAATACAAATCGAGTTTTTAAGAAAAACGGAGTATCGGATTTGAATGATCTAAAAAACATTCGATTAGTAATAGTTGGGAGAGGAGGTGACTAGTTTTTGGCAAAAACAGGTCCCGCCATTTCGAAGATATAGAGCTAAATATGCAAAAAATGGCAGTTTTTGAGTGAACTAAGCGTCCGATTTGAATGATCTAAAAAACTTTCTGCTTGTATTGACAAAACATTTGCTTTTAAGGCTAAAAAATTATTACATCTTTTTTTATTTTCCATAAAATATTTTTATAATTTTGGATTAAAAATTCAAAAAATTACCCAGGCTAAGCACAGTCTAAGCGCCGCTCTGGTACAAATGTTTACCCGAGTGCGTTTAGACTGTTTATGTAATGGAGCAATTTTATTAAACAAACTATTAAAAAAATGTGAAAATGCCGCCAAGCTAAGCACAGTACAAGTGAAAATGTCGCACAGAATTATTTGCAAGTGCGTTTAGACTGTGACTAGACGGGAGCACTTTTTCAATTTTGTGCAAATTAGGCAACTATTTTTTGAAATTGAATTCGAAATGAAATGACGATTGTTGTTAATGTTCTGGAGATAAATTGATTTATGATTTACATTTGATTTGCTCAGATATAACAAGATAATGCAAAAATAATGAAAGTTACAGTATTTGTAATAATGTATTTGAAAACGTGTAAAATTTCTCGAATATTTCATTACGGTACGGGAAGTTCCGGCAATTTGCCTTAAGGCACGATGCCATACACCACTAGTTACCTATTGGTTTTCCACTGGCTTCTTCCAAAGCTTTCCACAAATCTGCTGTTCCAGCGCTTTGAAATTTATATTTTTGTATATAATTTTTAATTCCCTTAGAATAATCTTCCTCCAAATAATTTCTTAGCATCCGAATTATGGTTGCACCTTTGGAGTAGCTGGAGGCGTTGAACATTGCTTGGGCATCAGAAGTTGAACCAACCTGGGGTAAAGGTTACATAAAAAAAGGTTATATAAAATTTTTTATACTTTTATTTTTTGTGTCAATTATTTTTTTCATACTTTTCGCACAATCGGTGCAGCCCCAGGCATTTCGTCTGCAGCCATTGCTGCATAAAAGTGCAGCAAAAATCCGTTCCAAGGATCAATTTCAGGAAGTATTCGATATTTTCCGAGAACGGAGTAGAATGAAGCAAAGCCTTCGTTTAGCCACAAATCGCTCCACCTGTAAAAAAAATTACAATTTGTATGATTTTGTCATACTATTATGGCCTATGATAAGCGGTTGAATCTTAAAAAAAAATCATCAAAGTTCAGAAATTTAGAAATTTATTAAAGTATTCGGATTCTATTAAAAAAGACCTTTCAAATGATACCCCACACGACATATTTGAAGTAAAACGTTTTGACTCCTTATTTGACCCATCAGACCGTTTGTAAATTTATAAAATGTCTTGTAACTTTTGAACGGTAAATCAGATTTTGATAAAATATTCGGCAAATTTGTACAAAATTGAATAATGTATAATACTGTCTAACATCATAATGCCCTACAGCAACCAGGTACTTTAAAATAATAATCAAAATGTAAAATCAATCAAAGTCGATTTCATATTTGAATTGAGTCCGTCGAGACCTTTCAAATGATACCCCACACGACATATTTAACGTAAAACGTTTTGACCCCTCATTTGATCCATCAGACCGTTTGTAAATTTATTAAATATCTTGTAACTTTTGAACGGTAAATCTGATTTTGATTAAATATTCGGCAAATTTGTACAAAATTAAATAATGTATAATACTGTCTAACATCATAATGCCATACAGCAACTCTATATACTTTAAAATTCTAATTAATATTAAAAATCCAAAGTCAATTTTATATTTTTTAGACTTTTCAAATGATGCCCCACACAACATACTTAAATACAAAACGTTTTGACTAGATAAGCCGAGAAATCAAACAATTAGCAAATTGGATACCCACAAAAAATTTGAAGTAAAACTTTTTTAAATTCCTCTGGTACTACTTTGTGATAATTGTATATTTTGTGGACAAGAATCATATAAAATCGTTAATGTCAATTAGGAAAAAAGCAATAAATTTTAACATATTAATATTTTATGCAGTATGTATATAACGTTTTTATTACAAAATATTTTTTTTTTGTGAAAATCGCATTCTACTTGTCGAAACCTTTCAAACGATACCCCACATGCCATAAAAGTAATCATCAAAAATTTTTGAAGTAAAACTTCTTTAAGCTCGTTTACTATAAATTCATTAGAAGTGTATATTAAATGCCTTTATCGCAATTCTTATTAATTGAGTTGATGAGGTAAAAATATAGGGAAGTTTATGTAACTTTCCTTAAGGCAAAATGCCACTCACAACTACTTCACTGTTTTATTTACCAATTCATGGTGACAAGATCTCCAAACCACAAATGTGCCAATTCGTGAATAACCGTTCCTGATATTGACGATTTCCAAACTGTTGGAGTTTCGTTTTTGTTGAAGATCATAGACATATCTCTGTAATGAAATATATATAAAGTGAATGCTATAGCATTCACTTTTAGTGGGATGTAGAATGGCGTGAATGCTATAGCATCCAAATTTTGAGGACAATTACTTGGAATTTACATTACGTTTTTGTAATTATCAAACTTGTTAAGGAGGTGCCTAATTGATTATTTAAGTATTTTTCGTATTAGTTACTAATTTGCTGCATACAATACAATTTGGCCAAGAAATTGCGAAAAATACAAAGGCAATACTTGACGTGGATGCTATAGCATTCATCTAGTATACAATTATTAAAATGTGACATTCTGACTAATTACACTTTTATTGGGCACGAACGTGCAAGGTTACTTCTCAGTTGAAAATGCATCATTTTCCATAGTCACTAATTGACGTGGATGCTATAGCATTCATCTAGTATATATCGATTAAAATATCATAATAGTATTTCTGTATTATCTTGGCTATTCTAGTAGTTACTAATTACCTTGGATCATTCAAATTGTGGGAAATAGAAGCACAAAACTTGTCGTGGATGCTATAGCATTCATCTAATATATAACAATTAAAATACGATGATAGTATTTTCGTATTATCTTATCTTTTCCGTAATACTTGACGTGGATGCTGTGGCATTGATCTAAGTTTATAACGATTAAAATATGATAATAGTATTTTCGTATTATCTTATCTTTGCCCGAAGTCACTAATGCGCAAGCGGAAAATAGAAGCTTAATCCTTGACGTGGATGCTATAGCATTCATCTAGTATATATCGATTAAAATATGATAATAGAATTTTGTATTATCTTATCTTTTCCCTTAGTCACTAACTATCTTGGGTATACAAATTACGGGAAATAGAAGCACAAAACTTGACGTGGATGCTATAGCATTCATCTATTATATAACGATTGAAATTTTATAATCTGACCTTTATTAAATCAAATTTTGGATATCACAAACATTTTAAAAATAAAATTACTGGAAATTTTGGTACCTTGCTGAAACTTTTACCAATTTTTTTTTAAATTATAATTTTTTACCCAAATGAAATGTGTCCCCAATTCTCCATGGCACCACTCGCAAAATTTTTGGTAACCACCAAATCCAATTTTGGCAACGAATAAGGTTCGTCAAAAAGTTTCGAAAAAATATCTAAACCTTTTACTGCCACTTCAAGGCCGAATTGACCATATTTTTTCATCCCTGGGGGCGTATAGACCCTTACCTGCAAAAAAAATTGAGGAAATTTAAATGTTTTCAAATAGATTATTATGAATACTGTAATTTTTGTTATTCGTATTTTATAGACAAAATGTAAGAGCTTATGAATTGCACGACCATGTTTAAGTATGTTTACATAAATAAACAAAACTTGATAAAGCGAAGTTAGAATGTAAGGACCTTATCTCATATTTCTCAGAATTATATAAACTAAATTGCAAAGTTAAAATTATTTATTTCAAGTATATAAGTGAGCTTTAGAATTTTAGCTAGATTTAAAATTAAATTCCAAAAACCATTTTTGTATATATTTTTTTAATTATAATTACCTTAGTACCACTTCCTGTTTGACTTTCAATATACTCAAACTCTCCGACCGAAAATGCCAGTAAATAAGTTGACATTTTAGGGGTTGTGTTGAAACAAACAGTTTTGCAACCACATTTTACCTAAAACATATAATTTTTAAGTACTAAAACTAGTTGTAAGTGGCATTTTGCCTTGAGGAAAGTTGCATGGACGTTCTGATCAAAAAGAATCAAGATTCAGATATTCAATATACGCTTTTAACGAGTTTCTAGTAAACGAGCTTAAAGAAGTTTTACTTCAAAAATTTTTATGGTTACTTTTATGGCATGTTGGGTATCGTTTGAAAGGTCTCGACGAGTAGAATGCGATTTTTTATGAAAAATGATTATGTTGTAATAAAAAAGTTATATACATATTGCAAAAAATATTAGAATGTTAATTTATTGTTTTTTTTCTTAATAATTGAGGTATAAAACTGTTTTATGTTATTTGTGTCCACAAAATGTACACTTTTCACAATTTGTAGCATAGGAGTCTAAAGAAGTTTTACTTCAAAAATTTTGTTGGCACTTTCATGGCATGTGGGGTATCGTTTGAAAGGTCTCAATGAGTAGAATGCGATTTTTACAAAAAAATGATTATATTGTAATAAAAACGTTATATACATAATGCAAAAATTTAGAATATTAAAATTTATTGATTTTTTCTTAATAATCAAGGTTTAAAATTTGTTTATGCAATTTGTGTTCACAAATATACTCTTTTTACAAATTTGTAGTAGACGAGCTTAAAGAAGTTTTACTTCAAATTTTCTTGATGGTCACTTTTATGGCATGTGGGATATCATTTGAAAGGTCTCGACTAGTAGAAAACGATTTTTGATAAATTAGGTAATTATACTAAATCATTCTTTATAGTGTGCACGCGAAAATCTCTGTTTGGAAGTAATTTATCTTTTATCAAGTTAGGTGTAAGTGGCATTTTGCCTGAAGGCATTTTACCTCTTCTTCTCGGACATCCATATTGGACAAAGCCATCAAATTTTCAGGAACTTTCATGACGATGTCAAAAGTTGCCTTCAGAGCTGGTTCATCAAAACAAGGGAAAGCTTCACGGGCCCTGTTGGGCTCAAAATGACTGATAACGTATGTTTTTGTCCTACAGAAAAAAAATTAATAAATAAAAAAACTAAATTCATGGCGCAGTAAATTGAACTCTGTTACGTTGCGTTTTCTCATATAAAATGGTACTAAAAACTTGCAAAAGTTTCTGTGGTTGTATAAAATTTAAGTTTACTTATATGTTAATGACACATCACAAAGATGCACTTATAATAAGATTTTTTTTTGACATTAGTGTATTTTTTGTGTTAGATTTTCTATCCAAAGCGCCTGCCTGTACAATAACCACATCGCATTCGAACAGTTTTTAGTGCTATTTTATATGAAAAACGCAGCGTAACTTTGGTCTATTTTACGACAGACTTGGCTCCGCAATATTTTTCATTTATTACCCTTTGCAAGTATCAAATGTTGATTTGCAAATTGCTGAAATTTCGTGAAATTCTCTGCCAAATTCTAGGATCAAACATGCATTTCCTTTGGGAATGCATTTTTTGAATTGTATAGTTGCTCTTTCGTCTTTTTCTTGGAAGGATATATTGTCCGAACACTCCTTTCCTTAAAAATAATAATTTAATTAATAAATTATTAGTAATAAATTATTATTTGATAATTTACCATTGCAGTGGCTTATTGTTGCTTTTTTGATATTTATTCCTAGACAACTTAGGATCACACAGTTTGTTTGCTGTTTTATCTGTAAAATTAAAAAAATAAAAAATAAAATGGATAACAGTTTTTTTTTGCGTATGAAATTCAAGTCATTGCACTTCTTTATAACATTTTTGTTATAAATAATTATAAAAAATCCTTCACAGATACGTCTTTTGAATAAATTTCCTTCAAAATGTGACTGAAAAATCTATATTGTGTTTTAAAGTGATTTTGCGAACTGTTTTGTGTTATTGAAGTCGTTTGATTAAATTTTGGCAAGTATCTCCGATATAAGTTGAACTGCAATTCAAACAATTAATTTGGTAAAGCAGATTTTTTAAACTTTTTATTTATAGATGTTTTTGTAAAAGATCTTCATATATAAATAAACTTGTGATAAATAAATAGTGATTTGTAATTCTTTATGGTTATCAGATATCGAATTACCTATTAATGTGCATCATTGATTTATTATACCAAAAATAAAGTAGTTTTGAGCTTATTTTTGGTACAACATTTAAGAAGGATTATCAAATGTATAAATATTATTACCTTCAAGTTAATTGTAACTTTTCCTGTATAACCAGAAACACCTGGATCTAAATCCAATTCCAAAACATAATGTTCAGGTACAACATTTGTCGAAAGTCTTTCTGACTCTTCAGCCATTTTTGAGATGCAATTTTATTTTCAAGGAATCGAGATTAACATTTTCAAAAAATAAGTTTAAGTAAAATTAAAATCATTTGTTGTTGAAGAGATTTATTTTCTGTAGTTCACAAAAATTTTGAAAATTTCATTTTTGTGAATTGTATTTACGTCAAAGTGACAACTTTACGTCAAATTTTTAATGTCATAATAAATTCAGGACAGAAATTGAAAAAATAATTGTCAAACAAATAATTGTTTTTAGGTTGCTCGTCAGTAGAGTCCCTTCCTTATAAAAATAATTCCTACTCATTTTTTGTATAAATATTTAATTTTTTTTTTAATTTAGGTTGCTCGTCAGTAGAGTCCTTTTTCTGCATAAATATTTTCTAAGGAGTTCTAGTTTGCTCGTCAGTAGAGTCTCTTTTTTATAAAAATATTTCTAAAGAAATTTTAGTTTGCTCGTCAGTAGAGCCCTTTTTCTGCAAAAACATGTTCTTAGAAATTACATTATCGTTTGCTTGCCAGAAGAGTTTCATTGAAAATTCTCGACGAAATTTATATCCGTACTCATGCACACACACATCTATCCATTTTTTCTAATGTTTGCCAAAATGTTCAAAAACGTAAATATATGCATAGTTATTTACTATATATTAAACTTATTATAATGAAAAACTTGCTAATATTGAACGTTTATAAACATATGTAAAA